CCACGTGGAGGTCGACAGATGTCATGAAGTCGAGGCATGAAGAAATGCACAGCGCCATTAGGTATGGTAGGTGTCTCTCGCCTTCCAGGTTGGGGTCCGAAAGACTCCACAACCGGTTGGTTGGAGACATTGATGGATATGACAGTGAACCGACAGCGGTGGTATTGTTGTCGTTTCTTATCAGGTCAAAATGCTTGAAACCGTACGTATGCAGAGTTCGATTGTGTACTTTGTGTGTTGACCGTAGAGGTTCACCTTCTTCCCCCTGCCTCAAAATGGTCCAATCCCTGTCCAACTTGAATTTTACCACTAACCTTGTATGCATTGCGAGTTTGGCCTTACTGTATTTCGTTGTACCATGATGATGATGATGATGGTGATGATCCAACCGGGCAGCCAAGACGTAGCAACCAAAATCTGCGCACGAAAGTGCGAGGTTAATGTTTGTAAAAGCTGAAGTGAACGATGAAGGAAGCCGCCGATTGCCAAAATCTGTTTGTCTTTTTTGAGTCTTCGCCTTGCGGATTTGACCCGTAATACATGCATTTGTCAACCTGAGCTTCAAGTGTTTTTAATCGTAGTTGATTATTTTATTGTATTTCACCCTTATCCAAGTCTAAAGTGTGCTAAAAGTAACGATGGGACTATCCTTATAACGAAGAAATCGGTCCATGATTTGCCTATGGGCGGAATACTAGCAGGTTACCGAAGTCAGTGCAGGTGAATCTTTTTACGGTTTTCAGAGCCGGAGCCTTCAATTAGCCAAGGTTTGACCTGTAAGACAGCAAGTTGGTGTGTGAAAATCGCAACCCGCCGGTAGCTGGTGTTCATTTAATCGGATCCTACACCCGGAGTCAAATGTCCAAGGTACCGTATACACCGTATATACATGACATTGTTGCAGACGGAGACAACAAAAGTGAGAAATACATCAAAAAATTGAAATTGGTTTTGACCCCAACGGGTTAATCCGTTGCTTAGTAGCCACTTCATCTTGGTCTGTAGGAGCATTGAGTGCGTGTTTGGTCGTGGTCGGTGAGATCCGCGTAATTGTATTTCGCTGTACGATAGTGCTAATGATGAATTGTGGCAATATGGGGCAATTACAGAACAGCAGCTGTTTCGTGAAAGTTGCATTTGGGAATTTAGCCGAAATCAGTGTAGATCAGTTAAAATTATCATTGGTCCTTTTCGATTCATAACAAAGTACGTAATACCACCTTTCAGGTATGATATAGCATGTCACACGTTACGGCTGCTCAGGGCAACTTCCCTGTCTGGCCTGTGCTTTTGAAGTACAGTCGGGATGAATGCTTCCAAATTCTGCGACGCCTCGAGTTGGAAGCGTATTCGAAAGTGGTGTCTGTGTTTCGCGCGCAAGGTCCACTAACTGGAGCGAAGCGGAAAGTGCTGTACAAATTACAACGTCTTCTGAGCATCACCACTGATCGTCACAAAGCTGAAGTTAGACGGGCACTAAATGACGAAGAACTAATCACCATCTCCGAGGCGTAAGTACTGTTTTTATAAATAATTGCTTTCTCTTTCAGTGCATGTGGAAGGGAAGTATACGAAGAGTGGATCTCAGAGGGTAAACGCGTCGCGCCTGTCTTGCACCGACCCAGTGCAAAAACGGCATATCTTGCGGAAGCAAATCGTGCTGCATTCAACCAACTCTGCGAAAATTATTCCACTCCCCCGCCCTGTGAAACTGCTTACCTCACTTTAACTCCGGAAGGAGTACCGACCGAGCTCAGACCAAGCTCTCCTTCAGTTGAGGGCAAACAAATTGGCAAAGTGAGTTAGTGGTCGTGATGGATCGAAAATAAGTGTTCTGGTGATGAACGCTAAGAAGCCGACTATATATATGTATTTACAGCTGCCCATCCACATAATGTACTTGTTCTCAATGACTTACGTTTCATAATTTTGCTTTCCTTTCCGCACATGTTTGACCATACAATCGTTTTCGTCCACAGTGCGTGTACCTTTTCGATAAGACCCGTTTTCGGTTATTTTGATTTTCGTATCGTGGTGGACCAGTGGTAACCTCACCACGGAGAACGTGTGTTCGAATCCCACCAATGTCCCTCGTCTTTCTCCATTATATGTTGTATCGCTGCCCTTTGTCTGCTTCCCCTTACCTAAAAATTGTATCGTCTTCTATTAATTAAAGGGAAGGGAAGTTATTCTCCGAGCTTAGTTTTTGTGATGCATGCACAAAATATGCCAGAATCAGCAATGTTTGCCGATTCCAATTTGACGTGGTTTTAAGTTTTATCCGTACATTCCTGAACATTTCGAGGTTATCATCCTGCTCCCTTAACCCCACCTGCACCAAATTACGTCAATATCGACTGCCAAAAACCTCCGGACAATGAATTTCTTCCACACAAACTTGGAATCTCACAACCATACGGGTTTTACAACCAGAGCTGACCGAATAGTTGCACAATACACACAACCTTTCATTTTCAGAGCGATATCTTGTTGCTGCCAAACATGTTTCAGTCCTGCGTTGGTCGATGGAGCCTTGAAAGTGCGTGTGGCTAGACCCTGTATTATACCACCCTCATTTATCATTCAGTTGCCTATGCAGAAGAAGCAACTAGCTTCCGCCGATTTCCGGCCTCATAGTTTCCAATCAAGGGTCGTGGATGCTTAGTCTTTCAGCATCATTTATCAATTTGCAGGTGCAAGTCTCATCTCGGAAGGGGCAACAGTGACAGTCATTCTGTTAAGGGCGCTTTTGCGCATCTCCACACAGTTGAACAGCAAACGAATTCTTCCTCGTACTCCAAGACGCATAACCTTTCTGTAGCTACCGATTTGATGCCCACATGTTTAATCCCCTTGCAGTGTTCTCCAGTATTTCGGATACGACAAAATCGAATAGGAATACGGAAAAACACCCGTGACGAACACCACTGCTCCTTATGAACGACCTACTTTGCTGTTCGTAGACCCTAAGTTGGAATGAAGAATATAAGTAAAGTGACCTCCGTAGCCTGCTTTACTTCTATGCCATCCCTTTATGAATAAGGGAACCAAGGAGTCTCACAGTTGACTGGATGAAAAGCGCATTTTAGACCAAGGATCACTGCGATGGTTGGTCCGTGATGTGTGTAGCGTAACTTGAGTACCGCGTACTGTATGAAGTTTTGTTCAGAGTAACTGCAACCTAGTCGCAGTCCTTTCTGTTTTTGGTGGATGTTCGTTTCTCTCATAGGCCCCAGGTAGCGAAGTATTACTGGAGCTGACAATTTGTTGACTGTCGGAATTAACCTTATCCCACGGTGGTTCGGGCAGTCATTTTGAGTTTCATTCTTGAAAAGCGAGGCGAGTACGAGGTTCGCTCTAGCATGGAGGGATACATGTCCGTGTTCAGATATGCTACAGTAAATCAGTAGTAGCACCTGTGAGAGAGTGAGGTTTCATCTTAAAAAACCGGAGGAAGCCCGCCAGTCCCAGCTGTCTTTCTTATCTTCAGTTCCTGAATTCAAGTTCGCTTATCTACTTCGGTTGTGGGTTCACAGGACACAACCCATGGATCCTAGGCTGAGACCGCTGGAGTAAATTGACCAGCACTAATCATACTGGTTTGACTTTGTAAGTGCTCTGTCCAGTTTTTTCTGTGTTGTGAACGGGCTGCCCCCTTTTGTCGCTAATTGTTTTGTTGATCACAATCCATGCATGCTGTAGCATGTAATTTAAGATGTTTCAGTCACATTGTGTCGATCGGTTCGTCACGACAGTTTTGCGATCCATAGTGGTCTCAGGGTTTCCGATAGAGCGACTGGTTTTGAAATGGTGAGGTACCTTCGTCTCACGGTGCTTGGTGTTCCAAACCACTTATAACATATATCGGTATCAGATATCCGTTGGAGGATCTAGATTCAAACACCATTCCCGGACAGCAGCACACTGCACACCAACATAATATTTTATGGTATAATAGCTCAAAGTTTCCTAACCATGCATTTTGTTTCTTCTATAACTTTATGGAAGTTTTATTAATTACATTTTGTCTAATCTGGTGCGATAGTTTGGGATCAGAACGTCCAATTCAGGGTTGATACTATCTCCTTTTTTGTACTTGTGAACAAAAATTCTACTATTTTGAGTGCATGACATGACAACTCTTCTTTCAGTAATTTTTTGATTTGTATTATTGGTTTTTGCAATTCAGGTGAACATCAACATAGTTTGTTTTCGCTGATACTTTTTTGATGTATATATTTAACTTTCTTTCATGACTACTTTTTTTGCATTCTTCCTAGACTTATTCTGACAAAAGTACCCAGACTGTCAAACTTCTGAGCGGATCACCATCCGCCCCTTTAGAGGATTGTGAATCACATGAAATCGATAACATTCCGCGCGTGGGGTACGAAATTACTTGTGAAACTGAAAGTTTAACCTTGCCAACTGAAATGCTGAATGGACATGTAAAACAAAAATTACCATTCGTTGTGGATTCCCAAACGACTACCGCTACTGGTGCTTCCTCTGTTTCTGCCCGGGCCAGTCAGGATACAACCGAAGGTCAGGTTGATTCGTACACTAATCACCAATTGACGTCCGAATATGAATCCAGTCGCGTTTCACTTAGCGCGCAACTAAACTCAGCCCATGGTACCCCGACATCCGAATCTTTCCCAGGCTTCAGTAAACCGGCTGACGCTGTGCTAAGCACTTTCGGCAAACCTGGTTCGGTCGAACCCTCGTCCATAGCCTCGCATGCTTCTCGAAAACGATCTTTGTCGACCAGCCCTAACACCACGGAGGTAACGAATGCACCAAGCAAATTGCTCAGTCTGGTTCACGCTCCAAACACGTTGGCAACAACAGCCCGTCGTACCACTCACTCACAGATAATTCAAAATAATCCACAATCGGAATCTGTATTGAATACTCCCGCCGCTATACAAGCGGTACCTCGGACACAAGAAATGGTGCACTATTCGACAGTTCAAAGAGTCCAATCCAAATCAACTCAAGGTGTTATGGGCTTACATTCAAGTTCAGGAAATCGGGCACACTCTCAGCTTGTTTTACAGATGTGTCGGCCAGCATCCGAGACCCTGTCAACTGCGGTAAGTGATATCTCTTCGGTCTCAGCTTTTCATTTGACTATTGGCTCATTTACTTGGTAAAGAAATGCACCCATTTTCCTCTTAGTTCTATTCCATCATGGTTCGGATATTTGTGTCGGCGTGAGCGAACTACCATGCTCGGGGTACGTCGTCCCAATGTCTTAACGAACTTAGTCTTCATGAGTTGGCTATTCTCACTCTGGCACTTGAGTATTCCAATCTTCCCTTTACTCCCCCATCCAAATGAACAGTCATGAGACAGCAACCAAAACCGGTGCACAAAAGTGCGTGATCATTGCTGTCAGGGAGAGACAACATTTCTATTAGGAAGACTTTTGTGTACCGTGGGTATGTAACTCCATTATTTGACCTTCACCTGATATTGCTGTCTCATATAACTGAGAGAATCCCGTTCCCATTAGATAGCAGCCACATACCGGTAAACCGCTCTACAGGTGGGCTAAACCAAGTTGAGCTTATCCGAAGCCCTTAGATATGTTTCCGCGAGACCTCCAGTAGTGGGCACTTGGTTGTTCAAATGCTAGAGGTGCACCCCCATATAAAAATACATTGGTACTGAGGACGCCAGTTAGAATCTGTAATGATCTTTATAAAAAGAAAACTTCTATGATGCGCTCGTAGGCGCGATACTGCTAGACTGGCCAAGCCAAGTCATGTGAATTTTCTTAGGGAGTTTACAACCTTAGCTTTCTGTTAGCCAAAGCCTGATCCGCAACGCACCTGGGCGGTGTATGAGAACGGCTACAGTAATAATAGAGTGCGGATTTTGGTACAGCAGAGTAAAATGTGGAGAAAAAAATACAAAGAAGCAGAAGAAGAATAACGACAAGGTTTTTCTTTGTTTTATACCTTTTTCTTTTCTCTGTTTTGTGTAGTAATGGTCGGTTTAACCTTTCTTCGTTATGGTTATGGATCTCCAGATAAGTATGTGCTTCTCCACGTTTTTTTCTAGAATAGTGTACGTTGTTATGTTCAACATTTCTCTGGTATATAACTCAGAGCGTATTCAGTTTTCCTTGTTGCTGTTCTTGGCTCCCTTCCCTTCGAGTAATCTACAGTGTCTTTCACAGTACCATTCTGCCCCTTTGCTTTTTCTCTTAACATTGAAGACCTATTCCCCCCGCTAATCGATTGGCTGTCACTTCGTTGATTATCATGTGGTTAAACACCGTCACCCTAATGCTACCTGTTTCTATTATCTTCAAACCTGGTTGACAATCATTCCCAGCTGATCGACATTTTACTCGCTCACCGTAAATGTTCTCAAATGTATTGATGTTCCTGTGGGCCCTAAATGCGGCACTCAGTACCTCACTTTTCACATTGGTTCAGGATCCCCTACGGCTTTTAGTCATCGCGTTCCTAAAGTCGCCATTACCCTTTCCCATAATCGCTCATGGTTTGTGTTAAATTTGGAATTTAGTTCGCAGAAGTTGACTGTTCCGCATTATGCACTAAATAAAATAGTCATCACATGTGCCTTGGCTTGGTTGCGATCCGTGAAGTTCGCTTCGATGCTTTTCGCTGTACGATGCTGCTGCTGTCTTTTTCTACTGATTGTGTAGATGCTTAATTTTTTCCTGGCTTACAAGCTCAGAATTTGACACTCATTTCTAGCCCCTCAAATCAGTCTTCCACGGGACTTTTATCTAACTTTGAACACTGATTTTCTTGGGAGTTTCTTCAAGCCGACGATAATTTAAACTTCGTCCTTGTCGAACGCCTTCCTATAGAAATAGCACTACTCCCCATCGACAAGCTAAAAGATTACCAGCAAAATGACACAGAGTGGTCTGTTTGTGCTTATCTGTTATCATTTTGCTATCAAATTTTCCTTTGTTTCCTCATTCTACTGTATTGTGTGAATGTTGCTAAAAGTTAATCCGTTTGGGCTGCATAAAGCTTATTTCGCTTGTTTCATCTTGAAGTTGAACACGAAATGTCAAGGTTTACACCCAGTTTATGAACTCCAGTTAAGGAACTGCTATCCGGTTCCCATCTTCACTGACCTAATCATCAAGCACCGTCCATGGAAAGCTGTTGTCTGAGATGTCCATATATCAGACATCCTCTAGCAGTAGCGGCGGTATTCATGTACTGCATAAACATGCCTACAACCCTTTTGTCTTTAGCACTTTTGAATTCAGTAGGTTTGTTTTATCTGGTTGCAGATTTTTCGGGATCAATTTAGAATCCACTTTCGGACTGGAACAAGGGATTTTCCCATCTAACAAGAAATAAGTGATGGTCCCCCGTCATCACCTCAATTAATTTCGTCTTATCTTCGTTCTACTCATGAGTAGCGATGTGTTAAATTATGAAATGGTTCCGTATCACTGGCAGTACCGGTTTCTAGTTTTGGTCAAACCTTCCATGATCAGAAGATCCAATACTTTGATGTGACTATTATTCGCCTGATCCGGATAACCGAAGCAAGCTTGGTGCCAACGCAACAACAAAAATTACAGAACATGGTGGTGGGTGGGTGGGATACATGGCACAGTAAAAGGAGGTCCGGNGCAGTTAAGTTCATGTCAAATCAATAGTAGCTTTATGCATCCGGCTGGGTGAATTTTTGGCATTTTACACCGTTTTTTGTGGATACAAATTTAGAAAATCATACATGATGAAACTGAAAGTAGTAGATATCGTCTTCGTCAATGAGGCAAGCAATTGGGTAATTCTGTGGGAACTTTCTCTTTGTCAAAAAGTAGACGNGAATATGACAAAACAGAATTGCGATATGAAGAGGTACGTGCATATAAAAGTTTAAACCTTGAGCCTGTGGATGATGTAAATACCACTTTTGAAAATTCGTTGTGTAATGGGCGATGAGTGTGTAACTGTATTTTGACAAAATTTTCACATGCTTATAGGCGTCTGTCTATGATATAGTCAGCAAGTTTATCTCTGACGATGCCACTACATTTAGAGATGTGTTTTCAAGATGTCGCCATCAAATTAAAGTCTTTTTTCAACCTATTGGGAAAATCACCGGGGAGCAGTGCAACCAGTGGGGGAGCACGCATGCACTCATTAACATAATAATCAACTTTTAAGGAACAGAGAGTATTCCCAATGGGATTGAGAAGCATGAAAGCTCTCTAACTTGACAGAATATGTTCTGTATGTGCAGTGATCATGATAAACTGTGTGAATAACGAGGACAACAATGTTTTGTTTGTTTCACCGCGCACTTTTGTTTTAGTTTATTGTTTATTTAGAGGGCACGGGATTTCAAACAGATCGTACAGCATTCGTTCCGCTTACCCTTATTTTGTACCATCGTCTCTAACCGACGACAATTCTCATCCCTTGGGCCCCAACCTGAAACACGGGCTGCACCAACCGAAGCCAAGCTGAAACCAGCTTCCTCATACCTCTACGTCATTTCATGGTCTGATCGCCGCGGCGCTTCTTCCAGTCTTGACCAGCGTATGCAAAGAGATAACGGAAAGGTAGTCTATGGGAAGGCATATGTTAAATGTGGCTAAGCCATCAGAGGCAATGTAGCGTGATTACTTCTTTTAGAGAACGACTATCCAAACCCAACACACGACGACGAACCTCGTCATTGCTCATCCGATTTTCCCAACAGACATGGTAAAGCTTCGAGGTCATCGGTGGTCGAATACAGAAAGTCGATTAGCATCCTCAGCGCGGAAGGGCCAGGTCTCGCAACCGTAAAGCAAAACATGATGAACGGCGGCAATGTACACCCCTTAAGGGGTAGTTGGTTGTCATCGCGGCGGCATAAGTGTCGAGATAAGACTGCATCTTGACGTGGTGTGATGGCTTGCGTGTCTCCATGACCCTGAGAGCTACACAGGATGGCTTTTCTCAGCCTGCTTGGGCACCTCCTGGCCTCCTTCATCTATCCACCTTCGTTCCAGAAGAGTCCACTCCAGCAAATAAACTAGGTGAGAGGCAGTTTATCTATCAACCCCCCCCCCGCTAGATGGGCGTAGGAGCGGGGTACCTGGGGCTTCCTATCAATGTGGTGGGAGAAGTCTTCACACTTAATTGTACAGCTACCGCCCACCCAAGCTGAGCAGTCCAAGCCAATAAGGTGCTATCCCGTCCACGTTCCGCTTGTCTCTTTGAGTGTATGTATATCAGCTAAGGGCCGATCCCGAAAAGCGGACCGATAACGCACCAGCGAACAACACAATTAATCGAAATTCAAAGGCATTGCGTGACAGGTCTCTAGAAGCTCTCATATGGATGCTTCGTTCACGCTCCCGTGTTGGATTTACTCCCCACTTTTGAGTCGAAGGCTCCGGTTAGGGTTCCCAAAGAAATCCCCTTCGTCGGTGTGGGCTGCCGCGAAGTATGTCGTACCCTAAATTTTTGGCCATCCATTTGGAAAACCTCTTTCCCATCTGTCTCGTTCCTTCTCTCAAGCCTAAATATTCCCAAACGCTTGCTATTTACAAGACCCATCGGATATCACCCAGCGTTTTACCATCAAGGCCAAATAATCAGAATTTACAGGATTTTTGAAGCCGAAATTCCCTTCTCACTTACCCGCGTTCAATGTCCGCACACTCCATCAGATTGTTCAGCAAGCTGCCTTGGCTAGAACCCTTGAAACTTTCAATTTGGATGTATGCTGTGTCTCCAAAACACGCGTACTAGATCCTACTTCAATCATTTCCCTGCGTTCTCCTAACCCAACCTCGACCTCACGCTTCACACTTCGTGTGTCAGGCTATTCGGTATCTGAAGCTCGCGGTGTTGCTGGTGTTGGGATTACGCTAACTGTCATGGCTGAGCGCTCGCTTCTTGCCTGGATTCCAGTCAGTAGCCGACTATGCGCTGTACGTCTCAATGGCTCAGCACGGGTCAACAGCTACAGAACGAAGCATCGGTGCTTATTCGTCGTATCGNTCGGTGTATGCACCGACCGATCGCAGTTCGACAGAAATGAAAGATGAATTATACAAGGACCTTTCTCAATTACTTCAAAGTGTCCGGTCAACGGACATCGTGGTAGTCGCTGGAGACTTCAATGCTCAAGTGGGATACTTGGACAAATCAGAAAAGCTTCTTGGCGGACCGTATGCAATCCCGACCAACCGAAAGGACAACGGAGATCGCCTACTTCAACTCTGCGCAGACCACGGATTGTTCCTGTTAAACTCTAACTTCTCGCACCAGAAANACAGCGCTGAGCCCAGATTGATTACATCGCCATCAGTTACCACTGGGGGGAGGGGGGACGTTCGATCCAAGATTGCCTTTCTTACTGGTCCACACCTGTGGATACGGACCACGCCTTGCTATGAGCTAAATTCTCCTTACGCCTGACAAACAACCGCGAGAAAGCCACCGACAACGGATATCCGCAATAAAACGTCAGCAATTGCTGTAAATCGGCCTTTGAAGCGGAACTCTCCGATCGTCTATCAGCTTAATCACTAACCGAAAGACTCGATGAACACTGGAAGCAAATCAAGGAAGCTATGCAGATATCGATAAAGACAACGTCGGACCCTGCGGCAAGGTCGAAACACAAACGATGGATTTCGTCGACCTCAGCTGCCCCGCTGGACGCCCGCAGTATCCTTCCTCCTGATGCCACATATGACAGCGCGCAAATCCCTCAGACACTAGCTCATCATAAGTCTGAGGAATGATCGCGATATGTGGTGAATATATATACATATATGTACAACATCATCGCAAAAGACACGTCCCAAAGTATTTCATCTTCTTACCAATATAATACCCACACATACCCGAAGTCTGACTCGGTTACTCTAAAATTTCAAAGGAAGTTAGCCGTTATAAATATTTAACAAGTGATGCTTTCGTCTTTTATCTTGGTCTAGTAGTATATTTGTTTTTGCATTCTATTCTGATCTCGTGTAGATAAAAATCGATGCCGTGTTACTTGCTTAACTAGTTTTATAAGAATGGTTGATATGCCTGTTGTATATGAAAGTTTTGTTTTCTTGTCGAGAAACGAGTAGGATAGTATAGCGGTTTGTGAAGTGATAATTGCACTTCACGTGTCTGGCCCAACGTAACACTGTAATCAGATGATAGCTCTCAGCCGTTGGAGAGTGGACATTGCATCAAGTACCGGACCTTTAGTGGCTTGCACATGTTTTGTTTCTAAATTAATTTCGACGTTCATTGTTCACCGGAAATGACGAGTGGGAATAGTGAGTATTAATCACGTTTAAATGAATTTTATCTACGTGAGGATAAGTCGGCATCATGGAGAAATCTACGCGGAATCAAGGGAATATGACACAAAATGGCAACCCCAGTATCGCTGGCTTTCTATTCGCGATTGCACTACTGGCCCATGCAAACCAAGTGCTACTTGTCGGGCAACAGGGTAATGGCGGTGGTTCGTATTTAGTGGTGCGTCTGGATTTGCACTCGGTGTGATACTTGCTACGGTTTGTTGTTGCTCGTCGATTGCCTACCACGTCCTAAGACATTAAATGTATTCATAGGATGTAGAATAGTTAAAATAAACACAAACCCTGACCACAGGACTGATTCAAGCAGACCGGCTTAGATCTCCAAATCGCTTGTTTCTAGTTCAAAACCAAAAGATATTATTTTGTATCTTGGGCAATGTCATCCTCAATTTATATCTTCTTTTGTTTTATTTGTTCTGTCAAAGTTCAGCGCGGATTTCCTTACTAACGACCAGCGCTGATGCACGTAAAGTATATTTCTAACATTTTTCTGTGCATTTGAGCTAAAATACGACCGAAAGATAGTGGGATGATGGAATACTCTGCATCTGTTTTATACGTACTTCGAAAACAATAAGAACAGCATGCACCAGTTGACTCTGTCAAATAAAGATCTACAGATATATCCACCTTCCTCATCCCCCCATGCTTACGATCCCACTCTGCGTTAGTTCGCATTCCTAAAAGAATCACATCACAATAATCAAATATTGAAAAAATGTGAACAAAGTTTGAAGATGCTTGACGTTATTTGGTTCGAAAGTATTTACACACATTTTCTTGTTCATTTACAGGATTCAACGTTCAGCGCTACAAGATCCGGGAACACCGTGGTCATCCCACCTCGCCCCGGACAAGTTAACACGGTTACTCGAACCTACACAGGTGTTCAAATGCCTGGTGGAGGCCTCTCCTTCAAGTCACCACTTATTGGTCCTAGAGTTCAACGATCTGGCACGTCCGCCATGACTGATTCAGGAGCAGACAGTGCTCAGCGAGCTTACTCGAGTACCGCTACTCCGAGCATTGCCATGGTTCACAGTCTGCAAGGTAACTTGGTAACGAGTACTTATATGCATCCCTATTCTATTTTGAGTTTACTTTCAAAGCTCATGGCTATTTTATGGTGATGGCCTTCTAGCAAGTACATTGTTTAACGACAGTTGTTTGTTTTAGATACTTAGTATTCTCCTATACTGGAGGAATTTATATTGTAGGTCAGGAATAGCCTTATTCACATAGTAGCGATGTTTCCATCATTTAGATCGCTTAAACATGGTGCTACTGTTCAAATGAATGCAGTTTCAATATAGTGGATTAGTAATAATGGAAACAATAATCGTCAACGGAAGATGTTAGCTTATTGACCAGTGATGACATCTGACTGATAAAGATATCTGCCAGAGTGTAGCTCTGACCTACAGCGAGGTGTTCTAAGTTTCTCCAAAAGTAGATATAAAAGTAAATAGAATATTTTTCTGTGAGTGATGTTGATCAATACCTTAGGATAGTAATACTTGAAAGATGACGTTTTTTCATCATGGAATTCAGTATTTCGATCATAGAAAATTTGCTAGAAAATCTATGGGTTTTATGGTATGACGCCGGCGACATCGTCTGTTTGTTCAACTGTGTGGAGATGCGCAAAAGCGCCCTTAACAGAATGACTGTCACTGTTGCCCCTTCCGAGATGAGACTTGCACCTGCAAATTGATAAATGATGCTGAAAGACTAAGCATCCACGACCCTTGATTGGAAACTATGAGGCCGGAAATCGGCGGAAGCTAGTTGCTTCTTCTGCATAGGCAACTGAATGATAAATGAGGGTGGTATAATACAGGGTCTAGCCACACGCACTTTCAAGGCTCCATCGACCAACGCAGGACTGAAACATGTTTGGCAGCAACAAGATATCGCTCTGAAAATGAAAGGTTGTGTGTATTGTGCAACTATTCGATGAGCTCTGCCGTGCAGTTGTAAGTCCCGAATTTTGTGTGTAGAAGAAATTCACTGTCTGGAAGTTTATGACAGTCGATATTTACGTAGTTGGACGCATGTAAAATGAAACAAGCAGCATAATCGCCTCGAAGTAAATCATCGTGTGAATATTTCATATATTTGTCACCGACTTGCGAACAATCATGGTGCCAACGCAACAACGTTGTGTTTGGAAATAAGTTGTTGAAAACTTGTATCAAGTCGAATTCTAAGGATTAGCACCTGTGGTGCATGCCTGACAGTGAATCACTGTATCATGCCTTATTCGCGGTTTCTGCTCTGGGTCGGAAAAAAATCACAGGGAAGTCAGCAGGTGACTTGTAGACCGGCGTGGAGAAATGAATGGAGAGATTAGTTAGAGTAAGTTGATCTCCTCTTCCACGATGCTCTTACTGGTTGGTTTGAGACACTGAAGGATGTACACTGGGAGAGTGGTGCAGTGGTTTAGTCGCTGTCGCCGGCTTGCTTTGGACTCTATTATCCGAGATTCGAACCTTGCCGCTGCCACCCAACTTTGGTGATAGGCGGTTTTGCTGTCTTCCGGTTCTATACCACACCTGACCAGGCGGGACCTTATGTTGTTCGCCACTCGAAGTCCTCGGGCTTGGGTTGGCGGTTACCATCACTGAACAGCAGGTTTTGGCAATCATGAGGTCTACCCTGTTGGCTGTTCATCACACAATTTTGCGTAATAAAAGAGCCTGCAACAGTGGCGTCATTGTTGTCACCCTATCAGACCAGAATGAAAATTAGTGTGTGCACAGTTGGACTGTGTGTCCTGTGTTTGGATCATTGGGGTTCAGTTCCTTTCCATCCCTCTCTCTCTCTCTCTCTCTCTCTCTCTCTCTCTCTCTCTACAAACTCCTTACCACTAGCACATTCTCATCTACTTCGCATATATTTTGAGCTTTTCAGCGGTCATTGGGGCTCACTTCAATATATTTTGCAGTAAAATGTTGATGACGATTCAGCTAGTACTCAATGTAGTTTTCATATGGCGGCTTAAAACGCACTAGTCCTTGAGTCTCAGACGTTCAAATATTAGTTGGTAGTAAGATGACAAATGAGACACGAGTACACGAAACGAGAAATAAGTATCAAGGGAGTTTGTAAAAACCTTGTACGATCTCAGAGGTTCTCATTCCTGTTTGGTGTCCTCGCGAAACCCAATTCACTTATATATTTTAAAGTGAAAGTCAGAAATGTTTAGTACTGTACGTCTCTGTCAGTGTACATTAATTTTTTATCTCGTCACCTAACTTCCATGAAGAATATATCCCAATTGTACAAATCTTAAACTCAGATAGAACAACCATGTGTCTGATAAATCGCGACATGATATTTCATGAAAATGACTGTAATAACTAACATGTGAAAGCATACTATCTGCTGTTCGTTTGAGTAAGAATTTGTGGGTACCATACATATTTCACTCAAAATCTATTCATGAGGTTCAAAAAACTCTATGTTGAATTGCATCTTTCATCCAGCTGATTCTCAGTCAGTGGCGGCTACCACACCACACCTCACCGCAACCCTCATTCTCCCTATCAGTTTTTTGACACTCGTTTGTTTTTCTCTATTTGTTCGTTGTCTGATCACTTTTAATCTGGGCGTTGAACCGTTTAAGTAATAATAATGAACTGTCTACTATATATCTTCATCTAGTCATTGCTATTTTCCTTGTCACTCCTTTCCTGTTGCGTGTCCAGGTATGAGCGGGACACATCGAGTTCCCGCGGCAGTGACTACCGTAGTTCTGTCCACCACCTCTTCATTCACCTCCGAAATGTCAGGATCCTCGATTTCAGGACCTCATAGTACGGTTCAAACATTTTCTTCCTCGTTCAAACCAAATACTACTACTACCATTGTTGGAACTCAAAATAATCATGTTCCTTCTACTATGTCGAACATCCCCGCGTCCGATGGAGGAGCACCATCACCTTCACCTTCCATGGCTACCAGACGCTTAGTCTCATCAGCTCAACCATTGATTGTCCCCGGTCTTCAGGTGTCTGTTGCATCCAATGTGGTGCAGAATACTATTAGCACACCGGGCAACAACAATGTCATCGTATTCCAACGAGGTAAGTAGGTGATAATTTTCCACACACTGTACTGCTCGCATATTAAGATTGTCATCTGAAAATGAACAAATCATTTCTGACAAAATTTAACTACGACATGCATCTTCATTGAAGGATGCTCCTTAAAAGATGGTTTAGTGCCTATTCATGAATCCCTCTACTTGATTATTATATATTCAAACAAAATTACACTCGTGAAGTCAAATGTGAAAAGTGGTGTGGGCTAAGACGCTCAATTATTTATTGAGACTGGTAGCCTACGCCGTCTAGTGAAGAGAAGAAGGTGGCTGAATTTGCATGAGATTTTTAAAAATGCGTTCAAAGCACAGACCGAAACAGTACGGATTATGAAACAGTGGCTCTGTGACGAACCATCAACTGCAAGTTGAAATACACGACTACGTTGAGGGTGCAAATAAAGGTATTGTATTGTCTTTCTAATTTTTATGGGCTTTTGGGGGGTCCACCCACCCCCAATAAATTGCAGACTCTAAGGCCCGTCTTGCTGCTGGTTCGATTGTAAATCCTTCGCACAAATTCATCTGATTGGCCTGGGTCACGCTGCCGTATTCTGTTCACGAGCGAATCATGGACTGATCTAGAGAGTATGAAGATTTTTGTCCTTTGATTTATTTAACACACTGTTTGAACTCGAGAAAAATTTACAATGTCATAATAGTGGTTTATTTTTCTTCGCGTTGTTGTCTCGAGACTTATTCCATCGGTTAGTTGTATATGGATTGTGAGTGATTGTGTAACACATATTGTATGGTTAATCTTGATGACTCTTCTCAGTTGCTAAGTATTTTGAATCATTCCTAGGGGAGCTAATTTTCTTTTGTTCTCTTTCTGAAGCTTTAGGAGCTCGTAAAACTTCCGGTATGTGTCATGCACCCATTAAATTAGCTCCAGCAACTCCGTGCATCATTCCATCCACATCGACTCCGACTACTCCCATTATGACTGGAGGTCTCGGAAGTAGACAAATCCGAATCCTGGGATTATCGTCCACTATCCCGTCCGGTTGTTTATCCGCTTTGACTACCAGTTCGTCATCTGCAGCAGCAACGGCCGCAACTTCAACAACCGGAGTAGTTTCTGTTGCACCGCAAACTCATACTGCACCAGATTCTCGGAATTCACCTCCCACAATTTCCGATTCTACCCCGGTTAGTTTTGTCTTATTTCATTCGCTTCTGGTACCCTTCTCTGTTGTCTTTGGTTCACGTTTGATTTGCCGTTTCATTTTTTATCATAGGTCAGCTTACCAGATTTGGAAAAGATGCAAAGCGATGCTGTCAGTAGCCTCTTGTCACGCGCTTCACGTCTCGGGGCTATGCTTGAGGTAGACCTGGACGCGGAAGACTATATGAATCAACCACCTCCCTTGGACCCAGTCACCACCCATTGTGTCAGTTTTCAACATGCTGATCCCTCACTTGCCGTATCCGCGACACATTCATCCCAACCTGGAGCAGGTGAATCACAGCATCTGCAACTAGAACTCGCTTCCTTAGGAGTTACTGGTCAACTGCCGGTTTCGGAATCCGAAGACGTCACTTGTGCTAGCCGGATAACGGCGACTCGAACGACTAACAACCCGCATCCTACCGATTCAGTCAACCTACCCATCTCAGAAATGGAACACAATGCGGCCACGGAGCACCCACCGATTGAACGAGACTGTTTCGACACACCGATTGAGGTACATGTGGTTTTCATTGCATCTTTTATCTCCTGGTTATTCATTTGAGCTCCTTCGATCGGTGTCGAATGACTCTGTTTTCACAATGGCTCAATATTTAGTGCAGTGATTAATTGAATTTCGGGTTTTTTGATTGCATTCTTCATTTAGAGCGGTTCAATCTTGACGTAGCTGCGAAACAAATGATCCTATCCAAAGAGAGAGTGTGTTGATAAGCCTTAAGACATAAACGATGCACAACTCCAGCTTTAGATTACAATATGGCATGCAAAAAGTATCCCCCATCATAGGCAGTTGGTGATCCAGGGATAGTCATTAGTCTTTGATGTCGTACACACACCTGTCTCATATTCTTGCCGTAATTGAACCATTCGAGCTCGTTTTCTAATTCTCCTGTGTACGTCGCTGTGATATGTCACGTGTGCGACTGAAATTGTTTCATTATACTATTTTCTCCAAATCCTTTTTGAGGTTTTTTTAAGCTGTAAGTCCATTTGTTCCAGTAATCACATTGTTGTGTAATTTAGCGACATCGAATTTCGTATGGTCTTTTTATTCACTTGTCCAGGTTCAGTCCAATAAGAAGATTGATCAACTCAAGGCCATTTTGGGTCTCACTACTCACGGTGCTAGTAATGTAGAATCGGCAGAAGAATACGCTTTGACATCCCGTTCCTATCCAAGCAGCTTTGATCAGACGGCTTCTTCAACGTCTGAGAGTTGGATGATCGAACGTCCCAGTTTGTCCGGCTGTCTGATACCGGAACCCAAACGTGCTCGTCTATCTCCTGCCGTTTCCGAAGTGCTGGATCTGGCCTCCAGCCCCCCAGGTAGTCACCGAGTTCCCCTGACACTTCAGCACGCGCTAGAATCAGGTACACTGAGTGCCGAAACCCATCCGGATCCTGTGTTACCCTAGAATTCCATCAGCTTGCATCCCATCCACGCCGTCCCGATTCCCGAGAACTCTACTCGCACTGTCCTATCGACCTGGTCAGCTCAATTTCCTCAAATCACATTGGACTTGACCAGCCGACCTATTTGTACTTCTTCACTTAACAATGAACGCATTCATCCTTTCTCAACTATTACCATCCATATCTTCCCACTTCGTTTCCGAGCCACAGCTGCCGAACGATGCTCCCTCCCTTCTCCATGCGTGTGCTGTAAATCATAACATCAAGGGCTTGGGTTTTTGAGTCGATATATCTGAATACATGCACTTCTTTTACCAATGACCTCGGGAGTATAATATGTAAAAACAGAGAGAGACAATAAACCCCCTTTTCTCTCATGTTAGCGTTATCCAAACATCATTTCCCTCTGCCTTCATCACTGATTCTCATAAGATGCATTGTGTCTTGTGACGAGGGACAAGCGACAGTTCTCTTCATGTTCCTTCATCACATCGTATTCCCTGTACTTGTGTTGGTTTTGTGTGTGGCCTCATCCTTACCATTGTACAACATAGCTGGTAAATGGATGGCGCCGTTTGCCGTAAGCGTCTTATGGGCTCTTGTCTTATACCATCGTTCATCCAAATTGTCTCCGTTGTTTGAAGCTTTCAAACCTTCCTTTACCTTCCTACAAATGTATCTATCCATCTGTTTACGTATGTTTTGAGAGCATTATCCAACTGCTCAGGTTGCCCAATTCAACAATAAATTCAACAAAGACATGCTCCAACGGTTGCTCAAACACCGAACTATGGGCAGCATTGTATAGAGCGTAAATTATTACATTCTTCCTCTCTCACCACCTTTCTGCTACATAAACACTCCCTGTACATTCGTTTAACCAATTGTGCTGGTCTGTGTCTTATTCATGGTCAGTGAACGCCACACACACACACATACATATACGAAATCTCCTACTCAACTAAAATAACAGCTATACAGAAAAGATTCATCCCTTCACTAGATAAACAGTTTTTCTCCTTGTCCAAGTTTCTCCTCTTTTGTCCACTCGGGGTGTTTTCATTCTGTTGATAACTATCTCTAATCGCGTGTAGTGTTGCACTCGGTCTGAGTTCAGGTTCGTATCTCTTCTATTCAATAAAGTATCCACGCGAATGTGTGTGTGTGCTGATCAAATTGAACTCGAGTTCCGTCATGTGACTACTACACTCGCTTCTTTTGTACCGCGTACTTCTATCACCGATTCCGGTCCTGGGAGGCAAGAACAGATCGCAAGGATTGCTTTTTGATGGTTCAGTCTCCTACCCCGATTCCACTACTTCGATGCATCCCCACCCCCATTATCATCTTCTGGGTATTTTTCTTTGGTCCTTTGTGTGTTGTTGTAAGCTTCTGATTATTCACTATTTTAAACAATGTTTACGCTTCGCAGTATACTTGCTGATTGTTTTCTCTTCATGGCTTATGCTTGTAGATCATTTTTAAATTAGTATGACCGTTCATAGCAGAAGGGCCTTCCCAGTTGTGGAACAGAAGAACAGTGCTTCCGACTGAGAGAACACCAAAACCACTACTGTGCGATGCACCCTACATCTTCAATAGCTTATGTGTGATGTATTCGTGGATTCCGGAACACTTAAATGCCTGCCCCTAGTATGTTTCACCGTCAGGCTGTTCTGTATTCGATGTATAGATTCACAGGACCTTGCACGGCACGAGTTTGTATGCATGTGCGTTTGCACATCAGTTCTGAATTCAATCTACTCCACAGGACCACAAGCCTTATTTATGTCCTCGAAACGTACCCGTTTCTCGGAATTGTGGGCTCTGTTGTATAAATGTGAACAGGACTGCAGGATTACTATCTGCGCGCGTTTCTTCCAGTGACAGGATAAAAATAATGATTTTACCTATGATCTGAGGTGTTCACCGAGCTTGACGCTTTCGTCGAACACGTTTCAGTACCGAATAAGTCACCTCAGCTGTTTGTCAGTATTTAACGGCTCTCCCGGCAATGTGAACGTATGATTGAAACTGCAACTTTCGTTAATGTTTCGTGCTTATGTCAGTGCAGAGCTGCGAGAATCCTGATCTGCGTGACATGCGAAACATGTGGTTATACCCGAGTTCAACCTTACTGGAGCTTCTTAGTTTTTTCTTGCCACAAAATAGGGAAAATGTACCAGTCCGATTGTGTTTTAAAGTTGAGGTTGAGAGGATCCCTATAGCTGGAGCCAGCTTTTGATTCTGCGTTTAAAAAGAACAAAACTATTTATTTATTGTTAGACAGAAGTGAAGGATTTCTGGTCAACAGATCAGTATAGAAGGAAAGTTACTCAATTTTATTTGGATCATTGGTAAGTAAAACATAATTTGTGTAAGCCTAAATCGCATTGTTCCTCTCTATCGTACTACTTTCTGGGTTCGATAACTGACTCGTGACCGCTAGAGGTAACGTATACAATTGAGTTGTCAAGTCGAATTTATTCAAATGAATATTGTGCTACAATACTGGTAGTCCGCATTGTTTTCACCCGCATCTTTTCTTACCGAACACCAAGTGTACATTGAAACATTTTGCGAAAGGATTTGATGTGCAACACCGTTTCATTGTGGAAGGTATAACGGTTCAGCCTTGGATTTATAATATCTATGTATTGATGACCAATAATATCAAAAAAGTAACTAAAGAGCTTTGTTTTCAAATATTTATTTAGTACGGTGACAGTTTCATCGTCCTTATGGTTTGGCAAGTTTTCGTGATCAGGTTTTGAATGTGTCCAGCACCTCATTGATCCACAGTCCACTCAGCGGTTGACGTTGGCTTATTTCGTTTGCTACCATCATGAACGACCGCATGGTGTCTAAAATACGGATAATATAGTGGTTATACAAAAACGTGCCTTACACAAAGATTCCGATGTATTCCACCGAACGAATTGTTTTTGACCCGAGTTTTTGATATCCCGTTCATCGCTCCAACACCATATCTATTCTTTGTTCTCTCACAGGAGCATGCGAACTGGCGATCAGATTTGGAGGCTGTCCTTCAACAGCTCTCCCACGCCTCAGTACTGTTCGTGCACGTGGCTGGTTGTGATCAACCTGACTGGACTAATCGTGGAGATTTGTTAATGAATGAGCAAAATCTTATCGATCCGCTGCGTGCCCTTCGCACATGGGCTGCATTGGTTCCCGACTTACTGACGGATCAGACGGAAGTCGTCACACAGTTACTTCTAAGCGTTCTCACACAAATGACCAACTTTTTAGATGCTCTTTTACTAGTCCTCTATCGTGATGGAGAGCTCTCATCGCAGTGGACCGTGTTGAAGCAAGTGGAACAAAAACATTTTGTACTTTCTTTGTCCATATCTCTCCAGTGTCTGTGTAACTTATTAAGTGCGAGTAAAACGGTTAATCAGTGTGTTTCTGCCAAGCACTTGCAATTCTTGCTATCGGTACTTCTAACAGGTTTCAGACCCCGATTACTTTTGGGGTCATTGACTGATCATCCCCTGTCGGCTCAATTCCCCTTACAAAGCAGTCGTATGGGCAGTTATGCAGCAATGCTATATTATTCAGTATTACTTCAATTCGAATCAAGCAGCCTGATATCGGACACTGAGGGTTTGGAGTTACTCGCGCGCAAAATGATTTTGGATGTTGTCGTGCTTCAATCACTCGTTTTTCAGTGCACAGTGCCTGAAGTCGAGGACAATACTTTGCAGACACATTGTCAACTTCACTACAGACTTCTCTTGTCAAAGTTGGCTGTAATATTATCTGGCCACCGGTGGAATATTGATCCTGAAACTGACACAGCGGTTGCATGTACCCGAACGGGACAGCTGATGCCAATAGTGGTTTGTGCCACCGGTCTCGTGATGTTTTTTCGTTCGGACGACTTGAGACCGGTCGACACACCGACTGGTGCTGAGCGATGTTTGGAGGCACAAACTATCCGTCCGTGTTTGACATTTTATGACTTGTACAAGAGAACGCAGAAATCAGTGGCAAGTATAGTGAACGGATTAATCGATATGTTCGATCAAGAGTGTCGGAATTGGATTTCATCGTTACTGCGACTGATTGAAACCGATCCAAATGAGCACGAAGTCTTGAAATCGGTATGACTTTTCAATCGATGGTAAATGTATTTCCTTCATCTCCATTGAGTTTCCTATCCTTGTTGAGAGTTTGATCGATCTCAATAATTGCCACTTTAACGTAGCGCAGCAAACTGAACTCAGTTATACGTTTATGATCTGCGTTGAATCTGACCGATGTCATCTACTTCGGACGGTTTCTGTGCTTGCAAACTGGCCATGGCTCTGTTAATGCGAGTAGGCGAGGAATGTTTTTTTTACAGAAAATTAATGACTTATCATCTGGTTTCTTTCACATGAGTGTAGTTTCGGTTTCTGTCTTCACAGAACCTAATGATCAAGCATGTGATACACTTCTGTTCTGTCTACAGCTTTCCGGGCTCGATCATTAGTTTTGTACATGAGGGTTTACAGTTCTGCTGATTCCCAGTTGTGGTGAGAAAGCCGTTCTTTTCAGCCTGTTTCTTTTGTTTTACGTTTGAAAAATTTCATCTTAACAAACTATTACTGTCAGAATGAGTTGCTTGAAGGATTGAAAAGGAGAGTACTTCAAAATAAGCTTTTTCTCGATCTTGTCATGATACTTTCAGTTGCATAGGTTTTTAATTGATGATGTTTCGAGATCGCCAATCCCGATGTTCTGACTGTATCATCAGACGGTAAGCGGATTTTTCACTCTACTTTTCCAAAACTTGTTAAGGTTTTGGGAACATACCTTGATTGGTTCAAGTCACAATGGAACCCCATGTCCCAGCAGGCTACCCAATTGAATACTATCACTTTACTCTTTACACAATTCAGGATCCTGTCATCTTTTTTTTACAGTCACATGCTGTCCTTTCCTATGGGTTGAAAATATAATCAAACCTGAACCCCGAGTTAGAAAGAGAAACTTAGCTCTGTTTTCACTGTTTTGTTTCAGTTTTTGTTTACTCTGTACATTGAAACAAACCTTTCCCGAGATTAATTTCAAAAGAAAAAACCATATTGCAATACTGCACGATTTATGTTCAGGACCATTTCGCTACATCTCAACATGGTGCATACTGCAGAAAATACAGTGTTTATATAGGGCTTTATCATAGCAACAAAGCAAAGCAAAATACATTAAAAACGGACAAAACATAAAAGGGTGAGGGGTAAAAGGACCAATATCACCAGGGTAGAGAGAGACTAACATAAAGTTCTTTTAGCTGATACAGGGGGGGGGCTTTCATCGATTAATCGCAATCGCTGCAGCAAACCTTAGCAATCTTGCGAATTGTGACTTGTAGACAATTGGAAACGCTGTGCCTCGGCCGACCTGGTGTTGCGTCATCAGCAGATGTCGAGCAATTGCTGAGGACGGGGTCTTGTAGTTTCGACCGTCGTTTCTATGCAGCGGACTTGACCTCAATTGGGTCAGCTGATTTTGGACCCAATTCGGAATACGTTCCACCACGCGATTGCGTAATTGTTGCTCTGCTCGGCCCACGTAGGTGGTTCCGCAACCACATTGAAATTGGTATATTGGATTACAGTTGGCGCACAGAGGCAGACGTTCTTCTGCTGGGGGTGTGGGTATCCTGGTTGTCCGGTAGATGATTTAGAGGTCGGCTACGTAGTAGGTTCGAACGATTTCTGACCTCAGTTGTTTGTAAAGCCGGCTTGGAATTGAACGTGCAATGTGACCCGCATTTTGGGATCTGACGCAATCGGTTCTTTTGCTATTTTCGGTTTGCTATGCTTATTAACAAACGCTTCGGGGTAAGCATTTTTTGCTAAAAACTCCCGGAGGTTTTGCAGTTCTTGTTCAATTCTGTCTTCCGTGCAGATTCGCCTCGTTCTGTCAAATAAGGTCCGAACAAGACCACGTTTGTACTCCAGGGGCATAAAGTTCTCGAAGTGTAAATATTGGCCTGTCCACATTTCCCTTCGATAAACGGATCGAGCAATCGTTCTCTTCTGGTTGTATCTGGTCATGTCAAGGAAATTAAGTGTGTTGTTGGATTCATATTCCATTGTGAAGTGTTTATTTGGATGTAGTCTGTTGAGTTCATTCATACTCTGTATGTTGTCACCGAAAATTCTTACATGGGTTCCAAATACTAGATGTTTGAAGATATCATTGTCTTCCTTCATTCTCAATTTAGTGTGATGGTCCATGGAATGTTTTGAAATTTATGTTTTCCGTAAGCAATGAGTGTTTTTCATTTTTCTTTTCGCTCCAATTTACTCACAACCAACCATGTATGATTCTTAACACAAATACACCAAAGAACTGTTTTATAGCAAACCGTGAAATATCATCAATGAACGCTTCTGAATTAATGTTAAAATCGTCCTAGGTTGCTATTTTAAAACACGCCTTTGATTCTGTTCTCCCCTACTTCTATGAAGGAATCTGGGGGTTCGGCTTTTCCGTTCGCCCAACTCCGAGGTGTGGTTCACCTTTTGTCTGAATCGGTCTTTTCCGAATCAACATGTCAGCGACATTCAATATCAATTCCCGAAGGTATCGATGCCGAAGGAGAATCTGCAGAGAGACTCTGGAATCGAATTTGTGACTTGCTTGTATTCTGGAATGCATCCTCTGATTGGTTAGATCAGATATTTCCATCGTCCGTCGAAGCGGTTCATCGTCGCAGTGTGAACGGTGAGCCGTGTACCGTTTACCCATCTCGGATGGCTCGAACCTGGGTAAGTCTCTCCTTCACCTTTTTGTTACACCTTGTCTGACTTTGTTCGCTTTCGAATAAAAGTTGACATCCGTTCAATTAAACTGCGTGAATATATCCGTCGTTCTCTTTAAGCATTAACTTATGTTCTTATTACACTCCAGAAAAGATGCGTCGTGTCTCTAATCTATCACGCTGCGTGTCGCCGTTGTGCACCTCCTTTGTTGATCGATGATTGTATTGATTATTAACCCCACCCGCGTTTACGCCATATTAAGAGTTACCTACTCATGTGCAGATTGTACTTGAAACACGCTCTTCCTCTCTCCCGTCGATTGCCACTTGATTACTACCTTTTTGTCATTCCGATTGAACTTGGTTCATAATTTTGCATACAATTTATCTAACTGAACCCGATGTTTTTCGAATCTCCCCAACTACATATATATTGTTTGTTGTTACGGCTAGGGTGTTTTTATTACATATGAGAGTATGACACTAAAAGGCCTAACTTAGAAAATCTGAGAATACACTGTTGACGGAACATCGGCTGGATCATTAATGATATAACCAGGTTGTTGCTCTTGCGTATAAAAGGACTGGTAAATCACTCTGGATAGTTAATTTGTCATTGGTACCGTAAACAATTCCATTGTCAATCATCTGATCGACGGGTCATCGAATGAAGATCGATGCAGCCCTCTGCTCTCCTACCCTTCCAATGCGCTAGTTATGCTCGCCAATTCCAATAAAGGGACGATAAGCGTCCATCATCTCTCATCTGATTAGTGCATATAAAAGCAATATTGTCACGCCTAAGAACTACCACTACTGTTAGCACAAATAGTGCTCAACATCAATCGTCTCTCCATGTTACGACCTCAGCTGAGATAATCATGAGCTTAGTTCAACCGTAACCCTGTTCTAAATACCAAGTCTTTGGTTAATTTATATAATCTAAACGAAGAATCGTTGAAAACGGGTGTTCGTCTTCGACCCTGTGTTCTCAGGTTATGAACCTTGAGTGACAAATGAATTGAAACGGTTCACTTTCAGGCTATCATGGCATCAGTATATTACCGCGAAACGAACATCGTTCGCTTATCCCTATGTTCTGGTTTTAACGGCATGTGGAACAGAACTTGAATTCTTTAATTTCGACGCGTCATCATCCCTCTTCGTCACTGACTATTTTTACGCAAAGCATGTTGCCTACTTGCTTTTTGTCAGTAGTCAGGCGTGAACCTGAATGTTTTGCCGTAGATGATACTAACTTCATTATGCCTTAGTGATTTGCATTCTAATCGTGAGCTTTCGTGGTTCATTTATTACTCCTCACTTTCATGTTCTAACTTATTTTCAGCGGACAATACCATCAACATCTCCACTGTCACTTTGTCAAGCTGTCGGCTTCCTACATGATTGTTTGAGATGCATGACCGGGCTGATCTCCATGTTTCCTCAGTTATCGTTCGCGTTGGCCTCCCACTCACTTGGATTTCAAATTCCCGATTCTGTTTTACGATCTAATTTTCGTCCCAAGAGAACGGCATTCCAATGCATTTTAGATGCGACAAATCGGGATAGACTCAATCCATTAGCTTCGGAATGGAGTATATTGCTGATCAAATTGGCTGTGAAACCAGAATCCACAGACGAAAAAGCGCTGAAAGGAGCACGACTGTTGTCTTCTGAACTGAATAACCTTCAATTGTTTCGTTGAATTTGTAAATCGGAATTCTCTTTGAACGAATAAATGGTTTCACATTACAGGTGTTTCTGGTTTCAATTAAATATAAATATCTATTTCGTAATTATTTTTTGATTTCATCTGATGGAGCAGGTGTCAGACTATCGTTTTTTCTTGAAAAGTCCCAGTGTAACAACCAATAAATATTTATTACGTCTGAGGAAATAAATCCGTGATTTTAATGTATTTCAATGAAAAGTATTTGGTACTTCTGGTATGAAATTTCCAGTTAATGTCTGTAGAGCCTCCACGGGTGTAATGATAAATCTTACCACTGCGAATCACTGATCAGCCATCATAGAAATGTTCTTTGAATCAAATTTCACATGAGAGGTCAGAGCAGATCTGATCGTAGAATCGGTCGAAGAGAGGACGATCTGTGTGATCCATGCTAATTTTTCTCTTCGCTGTATTTCAAAACGAGTTTTATCGACCTATATGCTATGAGCTCCGTGCGAATGGATGCCAGAAAGTAAAAATGACCTAGCGGGGCCTTGTGTGCTTCGCCACTCCAAGTTCCGGGACTTAGGTTACCGGTTTCCATCATTGAATAGTAGGTCTTCGTAACTACGGGGTTTAGCCGGTCTGCTGTTAATCACATATACATGTGTGCAATAAAAATTCGTTCCCTCACCGGTTATTTATCATTTCATGCGTCAGTACTACTTCTGATTGAGTCATGTGATTCACCAGTCATATTGGTTGTTTCATATTTTCTTTTATTACTCAACCACCTCCCCGCGCTTCACTGTACTTTTTATTCTTTAGTGTGCATCCAGTAGCATTCGTGAGGGAGTCAGACTTTGTTTCGGATTCAATGGGAACACGCTACCACCTGTTCGCGCATGTGTTGAAAAATGTGCTGAAAACCTCGACAAGTTGTTCAGTCTTTACCCACAATAAACCGCTAAGCGAGCCTGTTCTCAGGAAGGCGATCGCGTTGCAGTTCCCTCGGTCCTTTTGTTCGAGTTTTGCTCAAAACCATCCTCACTTGGAAGCTGTTCCTTTAGGACAGTTAACTCAGGAACCAGCTCATTCTCGTCTCTATTCACTCACAGCTCTAGCAAAGGCCGAGAGTGGGCTTGGGCGCTGGCGTGCGGATGTTTCAACAAGCGAGGTGATGTCCGTGGACAGTCTATTGATTCAACCATTGAGTAAAGCATGGAATTTGAAACCCCGTACCATTTGGCATCTGTTGTCTTTCATTTGCACAACCAGTGATCAGGAGTTGTGTACGTTTTGGTCTCACTATTGTTTGTTTGTCATAGCATGCACTTTTCGTTTTACTACAACGTTTTGGGCAAAAGTTGGCCTTGCGTTGGCACGTAGCAAATGATTTTCGAGTATAAATGCGTCGAGGTTTCCTTTGCCTTTGTGAAAGTCATTTTTCTTCAAGTTTTACTATACACTTTCAGGATGAAGTACTTGATTCCTGCAGGAAATTTGCGATATTTCCCGCAATCGGTTGCGTGTCCTCAGAAAAGAAAGGTCTTAATGAACACCCCTAGATAATTTAATTGCAGGGGTCAAATAAAATTTATTGTGGACGATTTATTTTCTCTGAGCTTCAGCAACAAATTTAACATGTTACATCTTTTCTTGTTTTTGTTTTTTACGTTGCACCAAAGCTAGCAGATCTCATCAGACGCTAGCATT